TACATACACACAATGGAGTATTACTCGGCAATCAAAAAGAATGAAATCTTGCCATTTGCAACTACGTGGATGGAACTAGAGGGTATTATGCTAAGTGAAATTAGTCAGAGAAAGACAAAAATCATATGACCTCACTCATATGAGGACTTAAAGAGATAAGACAGATGAACATAAGGGAAGGGAAAAAAGATAATATAAAAATAGGGAGGGGGACAAAACTGAAGAGACTCATAAATATGGAGAACAAACTGAGGGTTGCTGGAGGGGTGGTGGGAGGAGGGATGGGCTAAATGGGTAAGGGGCATTAAGGAATCTACTCCTGAAATCATTGCTTCACTATATACTAATTTGGATGTAAATTTTAAAAAATAAAAAATAAAGTTAAAAAAATAAAAACAAACAAATAAATAAACAAACAAATAAATAAATAAATAGAACTTCCCTGAGTGACCTTATTTACATCTAAAGACATCCCTAACAATATTTTACTAGTGTGGGTTATCTTTTCCCCACAGACAGGAATGTTCTGGGTAGCTCATTTGACTTTTTACTTTCTTCCTTTAATACTACTGTATCTTTGAGATCAGCCTGTTTTTCACATGTGTATACAAGGGTATTGAGGTTGAGCGTAAAATGAGCCCCTGGTAGTCCTCCTGCAGTCACATTGCCAGTGCCACAGAAACCCAGGGTGGCCCCCCAGATTCAACCAAACTCTCTCCCTCTAGAAGTAACTGTATCCCAAAGTTTTGCTCATTATTTCCTTATTCTTTGTTAGTTTTGCCATATGCGTCATATACTCCTAAATGATATATTGTGTGATTTTTCATGCTTTTCAACTTCACATAAATGGAATTACATGCATCTTCACGCATCTTTTAAAAATTCAGTATTATGTGCACAGTTCATTCCTGCAGATGCTTATAACTATTGTGTATTAATTTGCATAACCACGCATCATTATTTATCCAGTCTTCATCCTCAGACATTTGGATGGTTTCCAGTGTTTTACTGGAACAAAGCTGGTATGAATGTTCCTGAGCATCTGTGCAGGAGCACCTCGATGTCACAAAGCGGAATTGCTAGGTTAGGGGTACACACGTCTTCAACTTTCACTCGATGCCACACCAATGTCCAAAGGGGCTGCAGCAACCTCCATTCCCACCAGCAGAGGGTAAGTGTTCCTGTGGCTCTAAGCTTTTCAAAGACTTGATATTGTCATAATCAAACTTGTGTCAATGTTGTAACTATAAAATATGGCTTTAGTTTGAATTTCCTTGATAACCAATGAACTCGATGGTCTTTTTATACATTTATAAATCACTAAGTAAAGTGACTATTCAAGTCTTTAGTCTTTTTTTCTCTGTTGGGCTTGATTAGTAAATAGATGATTTTTAACTGCTATATGATACTCCATTTTATGAATTTGCCACACTTACCAATTCCTCTTACTGTTGGCTATTAGCTTATTTCCAAACCTTTGTTATTACAGGCAATGCTGTGGTAAACATCCTTGTATGCAAGTCTTGATGTAGGCAAGAAATTTCCTCAACCCGGAATTGCTGAGTCTCTGAGTATGTGTATATTCAGTTTCCCTAAAAGCTGACAAATGGCCCCCCAAAATAGTGGCACCGATTTTCCATCCTCCCCAGTTTCCCATCCTCCTCCAAGTTAATGAAGGTTCCCATGCATTCTCCACACATCTTTCCGCACTGGACATCATCCACAAGGCATCTCTAGGTAGACACTGTCTCGTTTAGTCTATGAATAATTTTGGAAGGTAGAAAGTGAAAACGAACCAACATGTTTCTAGTACTTTGCAATTTGGAAAGCATTCTCATCTGCACGACCTATCTCACTTTATGGCCAAATAGATCTATTTCCCTTGCAAACCATACTCAAAGCCAGTGAACTGCATTCTGTAAACTCAATATCCTGCCTTATACTTCCATGTGAATACAGGGGTCTTACCAACCCAAAGAACCCCCAAAATATTTCCCAAACCCTTGGGATAAAGAAGGAGCCACAGTATCATAATCACTCATGCATTTCTACCCACGAAAGCTTGCTCATGAATTGTTGATTTTTCTAGAGCTTTGTGACTGTGTCCCTTATGTTGGTAATATGTCATCCTAATGATTTTATTTTAACGGTAATGAATTATGACTTCATTCCTGCAGTAAGGCATATGGTATCCCTTTTCAATCCCAAGTGAATCAGTGTTGTAATAATGAATACCAACTTCATCAATAACATTAGAAAATACAAAATGTTGTTCTCTAGTCCTTGGCATCTCTTTCTGTAATCTTTGCCCTCCATCACTTTGACTAATATTTTCTAGATTTAGCTTCCTTTTTGTTTAGCTTCCTTTTGTTTAGCTTCCTGTTTGTTCATGCATGTCGGCCTGAATTATAACTTCCAGATTCCGTTTTCACTAATAATTTTTGAGCATTTATATTGGGCCGTTTCACACACTGGACCTATCGTTTATCATGGAGACAACCTGGACTCATAAGAGTCATTTGGCCCAAAGTCCAAAGGGTGGAGCCGGGATTTTAACCCCAGGTTTTGACCTCAAAATCTGGTGCTTTCTCATGCCCCAACTTGGTAGAGTTTTTGTTGTTTTTTAAATATCACACATTGAATTCTGGGCATTTTACTTAATTTTCTTTAGAATCCTAAAGAAATTTGAATGGTATCACTTCATCCATGATGCTGGAGTCCCTGTGGACTAAAAGGGCCAAGCCTACATTTCAGATAGCACCTTGTCTCTTCTGTCAAACTTAGCTTCTCTGAAAAACGTCAGGTTGAGGGTGGGAGGATCCCCACCTCCACCAGCCAGCCACCCTAACTGATATTTTCATTCCCTTTCCCTGTGAGAATCAATACCAACAAATCTGAGTCTCTGGATTTCTAGCTATACCTCTTTCTGTGTATAGATTTATGCCTTTGACTATCTTAGGAATCTGTCTAGAATGGGTGAGAATACCCCATATTTTCCAGCATCAAATTTAAATCTTCCGATAGGAATTTGGTTTTCAGAGCAGTACTTGACTCAGATTAAGCTAAGACTACAAAAACCTCAGACTTTATAAGAATATGATGAGTCATGTAAGATAAAGAGTCTGGAGACAGGACACTTAGATGTCATAAAATTGTCACTGAACAAGTATGCTCTCTTAAATTTTCTCTGCCAGCCTCCTGTGCCTTTCTGACTGCTGTTCCCACTGCCTGAAAGTAACCCAGCTGCTCCCGTCCTCACCAGCTATCTGGCCTGTAAAACACCCAGCTGAGAAGTGGTGTCCTCATGATTGAAACCTTTCAGACATCCCCACCTGTCCCTTGTGATAGTCACCCCCTGCTCCCACACAATGTTGCAGTGATGCAGTCATTCAAATCACCCATTCATCCGGCAAATACTCACTGAGGGCCTACTAAGTGCCAGGCACATTTGGCTGGAGCAGAGGATAAGACATCATGTTCTGAAACACGCCGGGGGGTCAGGCTGCAGCCATTCTCAGGATGTTAGGTTTTGGCAATGAGTGAAAAGGGGATCTATCAGAGGATTCTGAGCACAGGTGGTCAGATCTGGAATATTTTCGATACTAATGTGCCTTCCTACTAGATGGATTATAAAATATGAGAGAAAGAAGTAAAGTATGAGTTGGAGTCCACCCCTCCAGGACAGTCCTTACTGGACCAGTGCACAGGTATTTATGTATCCCCCCTCCTTACTGGATTGCAAGACGCCCAGGACAGATGCTGTCTCGGGATTCTCAACCTCCAACCTAGGGCAGGACACGTAGGCAAGAAACATGTGTTGAGGGCACCTGGGTGGCTCAGTTGGTTAAACGACCAACTTCGGCTCAGGTCATGATCTCACAGTTCATCCGAGCCCCGCGTCGGGCTCTGTGCTGACAGCTCAGAGCCTGGAATCTGCTTCTGATTCTGTGTCTCCCTCTCTCTCTCTGCTCCTTCCCTGCTCACATGCTGTCTCTCTCTCAAAAATAAATAAAGATAAAAAAATTTTTAATAAAAAAGAATTTCTTAAAAAATAAAAAAATAAAAAAAAGAAACACGTGTTGAGTCTAATGGTCAGCATGAGTGTGTCTCAGCCAGGAGTTTTATTAATGAACAGGAAGGCTGAGACAAGCTTTTTGACATCACTTGGGAAAATAACAAGTCAGAGGCAAGGAGAGCATTGCCATCCAGCCCTCCAGCCTCTCCCCTCTGGATGGGTGCTCACCAGACATCATGAACACTCTGTGCTTCCATGAGTGGATGCGAGAAGTGCTGTCAACGAATGACCTCTTTATTCAAGGATGCGGTGGCAGGTGGAATTAATTCTCTGCATCTGTTGAAATGTAAGGGGAGAAATCGGTCTTTTCAGAATGTTACAACACCAATTATTTAGGGCCAAGGAATTTCCCCAATGCTTAGTTTCAGCCAAGCAGGCAGGCTGCTCAGGGCTTGTGAGAACTCAAGACGGCTTTAATGCAGTGTGGGGGCAGCACCGAGAAGCTACCGGACTACCCGGAGATGCCCCGCTCTGGCAGCCTGGGTTCTCCTGGAAGCAGCCAGAATGAATTACACTCCTTCTGGGAGCCAAGCCTCTCCCTGATCCTGTTCTGTCGGCTCTGCGGGTGTTCCCTTCGCTGTCTGTGAGGGTGGAGCTAAAAAAGCCACTGGGAACAGCATCAGTAAGCGTTTCTACAAAGCATATTTTGCACATACTGGAGTTAGAACAGCCAAAGCATGGAGTGAATATGGGTATGGCCACAAGGATAACAGAAAGTGCTGTTTTTCTGTCCTGCCACTCCTGAACCTGTCTGACAGGTAGGTCTACAGCCAGGACTGAATCTCCAAGGAGTGAAACAAGTACGTATGCAGGGTACCAGCTAAGCAGGGAGAAAGCCAAGAAATTTTAAAATCCAGCAAGAAACCATTTAAATTTCAGCATGTATACAAGCTCCGTGTCATTTTGAAAACGCAGTTGTATTATGGTTTCATGTCAGTCTTGTTCTGAATTCTGTATGCTGGGTGGCATCGTAAGCTTCCCAGTGTGTACGAGTCCTCATCAGAATCCGGGCCCCCTCCACACACCTGGAGGGCTTCTCAAAGCTACCTGTTGGATATAAGAACCAAAACCCCTTCATCTGATTCTAAAAGGCAAGCTCTTCTTTGTGACAGAAAAGTCATAAGTCTGCAAAGTCATAAGGACCCAGCAGCATCTGGGGCTTGTCAGCATTGGGCAGCAGGTGCGTGACCAGTTACAAGGCGACCACAGCGCCGTTCTACCTCGTTTTTGGAAGCATCTCCATGAACCACCTGCCATCACGGGTGCCTGAGCTGCACGGCAACCTCACATCCTTCCTCAAGATGTGCATCAGTTTGTCCACAGAGGGCTAGAACAACCCCCGGCCCTAAAGGGGGAAGGTATTCCTACCCCCAATGGAACTACCACCAAGTATCATCAAAATATTCCTGTGCTCCCCGACACCAGCTATATTGCACTGTTTATTTATGCTTTTTGAGCTGGGGATGGAAAATATGTTGCATCGTGATATCTCCCACGTCCTTGATCACGATAGATGTTAGATTTGAGCACAGTGTTTTTCCCACTGATCCCAGACTAGTTCTCAACATTGTCTCAACACTGCCCTCCAGGCATCCACCACCAACCAGCCAACCAAATGGCAGTGGCACTTGACATGAAGGCTGGTTTTCATCCTCATCCTCAGCTTTTTGAAGGGCAGGACCATGTCTTCTGCCTCTTTGCATCCCAGAGAGCACCTAGCCCCTGTCGCAGATACAGAAAGCAATCTGGACTAATTTTCGATTCCAGAACTTTACTATACATTCAGCCAATTTTCCCATGCATGTGGGAATATAGACCCAAATCCGACACACTCTACAACCCCAGAATCTCAGAGTCCTTCAATAAATACTTATGAAACCACCTCTGATGAGAGCAATGTATCATAGCGATGATCCCAAAGAAATTCCGTATGGGTCATTCTGAAAGGCCAAAGACATGGCCCCAGAAATTAGGTTAGTTAAGGGCAAGGTGCTATTTTAAACAAATAGTAGTTAAAGCATCCTGACTCCTTAAGGACTTGCCTTCCAGAAGCAATACTGCCAGGCTCGTAGACACCCTGGCACTCTGTGATAAAAAGGCTTCAGGATGACATCCAACATTACCAAGTCATTCCTTTTGCATCTATTGTCCTCGTTACCACTGTTAAGAAAATGAACAGGAAAGGCTTCTGCGACTGGATAATGACTTCTTCTGAATCCTTTCCACCAGTTGTAAGGTGCTACCCAATCTGACAATCCGATTTGTTTTCATTTCTCCTTTAACCAGCCCGAATAGGAGTTAGGTTGAAATTTTTGAGAGCGCCTTATTAATAACAGGGTCCATCCACACCTTTGAGTTGGCACCTGATATTCCCATCGTGGCAGGAGCTGCAGCTTTCATAATACCCGATTACACTGATTAATGAGGCCCATTAATCAGTTCTCATAGCTTTCGGGATGCCAGAGAAGGCTCTGTTGACCTTTGGAGCAGGCTGAACCATTATCATCATATTCTAGGTGTCAGATTTCTTTCCAATGAAGCTAGGTGTGGTTAGGATCTTCACTTATGCTAGCAACAAACTCGTGTTTTTAATGCCTCTCCTCCCATTTTTTGAGTAGAGCAGTGACTGCTTGAGACAAATAGCCTCTGACGTAGTGCTTTGGATCCTTCTGAATGAGCTCAGTTGTCTCTGTTTCTTTAGCACGGATGCTCAGATCAAGTGAGTTAATGCACATGGGAGCTCTCTGCATGGCAAACAGCACGTAGTAAAGAGTGATCAGTAAGTATGTCACTCACCCAGCAGGCGCCATGATGCTCCAGCCACCATTCAGACAGACCCCAGATCACTACATTGGCTGCTCAGAGATGTCTGGAGCACCCAGTCTCTTCTCTGAGTGACACCTTCTGGGACTTCCATCAGCTACTTTTTTGGCAAGTCTGTGGCTTGGTGAGATTATGGAAATGAATCCAAGGATTAAATAAATGTTTGCATTTCTGTGACCTGGGGCACATTATTTCACCTCTCCAAGTATTGGTGTCCCATTGATAAAATGAGGACTCAGGGGGCTGGTGGAATTTATCTAGTGACCTCAGCAGGGTACCTTGAACAGAATAGGATGTCAACAAACAGTAGCTTTTATTATTCATTAAATGTTGCTCTTAATCAAACTTGAACACTTTTGAAAGGCAAATTAAATCTGCTTGATCCACTAACAGACAGTTTCTTGTCTGTTATAGGCAGCAAAGCCTCTTAGGAATGTTTCGTGGGATTTGGAGCTATTTTTATAAAAGAGAATCTGCCTGGAAGTTACTCATGCTGACCCCCTGGAAGCAGTAGAGACAAAATTGCTTGAAAACAGAAAAGAAAACTGTCTAAAAGCAGAAAGGTACAAAACAAGTGCTTTGATCAAAGCCGCCCAGGTAGTTAACAGCCACACCAGCCCTTCTGGCTTCCAGTCCAATGTTCTCTCGTCTACACCAGCCACTTCTCACTTTGACCTTGGGCAAACATCAGAGGTATCTCAAGAGAGGACAGTCTCAGAAGGCATCAACAGCTGCAAAATCAGGCGTTGTTTAGAACAGGTGTCACTTGCAGTACCAACAGCCCACCTTATAGAGGGCTCCCGGGTGCCAGCCCCCTCACCACAAGCCTTATCTTGAATCTTCTTGACCATCCCCAGGGTTGGTGCCAGCATTCTCCTCATTTGACTTATGAGGAAACTGAGCCTCAGTTAAAGTCAAGTGGCTGTGATAGGCAAGTTTTCCCACCTTACACAAACTATTCCAATAACTAGGAAAGAGGGAAGGCCCTGAATTACTTCATCAGACCATGAAATCAAAGCTGGATAAGAAAATATAGTAACTATATTTAGACTATATTTTAACTATATAGACTATAGTAAATTATAGTCTAATCTTACTTATGAGCACAGAGGCAAAAAGGCTAAAGACTATATAAGGAAATTGAATTTGGCTCTGTCACATACAGAGAAAGAGAGAGCAGCTATAAAAACATTACAGCCAACTGCGATTTATCCTGTGAATGCAAGGATGGTTCAATGTTAGAATATAGATATAATCTACTACATTAACAGATTAAAGAAGAAAAAAAGGGTCATCTCAATTATAGTGGGCTGCACGGTGGTCTCCCAAAAGATATGTCCTTTCCCTAATCCCCAAGCCTGTGAATCTTATTTGATTTGGAAGAAGTCTTTGCATACATAATTAAGAAAGTCTTGAGATGAGGACTTCATCCTGGATTATCCGGGCCCTAAATTCAATGATGTGTTCTTATAAAAAACATAAAGAGAAGACAGGGCAGAGGAGAAGGCAACAGGAAAATAGATTCCATCATTAGAGTAATGCAGCTACTAGCCAAGGAAGATCAAGGATTTCTGGCAAATACTGCAGATAGGAGAGAGGCATGGAATGGATTATCCTGTAAAGCCTCCAGAAGGAACCCACCCTGCAGACTATTTATTTTTATTTACTATTATTTTTTTGACAATTTAATTTCAGACTTCTGGCCACCAAAACTGGAGGAGGAGAATGAATTTCCATTGCTTTGAGTCATCAAGTCTGTGGTAATGTGTCACAGCAGCCACAAGAAATGAATACATCAGTGAATAAGGAAACATCATTCAATAATATTCAACACAAGTTCATAAAAAAATAACTCAAAAAATTGGGAGTGGGGTGCCTAGGTGGCTCAGTTGGTTAAGCATCCAACTTCGGCTCAGGTCATGATCTCATGGTCTATGAGTTTGAGCCCCACATTGGGCTCTGTGCTGACAGCTCAGAGCCTGGAGCCTGCTTCGGATTCTGTGTCTCCTTCTCTCTCTGACCCTCCCCTGCTCATGCTGTCTCTCTCTGTCTCAAAAATAAATAAAAACATTTAAAAAAATTTTTTAAAAACCTGGGAGTATAAGAGAAAGTCAATTTATAGATGGGGCAAAGATACTTGCAACACGCATCCACCATAGGATTAATATTCAAAATGTGGAAAGAATTGCAAGTCAATAAGGAAAAGACCAAAACTATAATGGGGAAAAGAAAGGCTACTGAAAATGAACAACTCACAGAAGAACAGACAACTCACTCAGTCTCACCTGTAATCAAGAAAATGCAAATTACAATACTAATGAGATTCTATTTCACACCCCTCAAACTGACTAAAAGTTTAGCATGAAAATATCAA